TTTTTTGACGTATATTATTTAGCTATGCTCGTCTATTCTTAAATGAAAAACCGCTCCGCTCTAAACTTCATCATCTTAAAACCATATGTACTAGCATGGTTGACATACCTTGCTTGAATAATTTCTGATGCACAACTTGCAACTTAGTCTTTACATATTTGTGGAGCTTTATCACTGTCATTGACCCTATGTCCATTTTTGTTATATTGCATCCTGTTAAGCGCTTGCTGGAATCTTATGTTATGTGGACGCGTGTGAAGCTAGATTATTAGCCAAAGTTAAAAGTTAGCACCATTACTTGACCAAGAAAATGACGTTTATAACAAGTAGAGAGAAAGGAAGTGCAAGAAGTTCCGAGCGTTCTTCGAGGCCCCTCCTTGGTCTCAAGTAGATGAACCTATAATTTTTTGTAATTACCCAAGTCAGCTGAATGCTCACCAACTAACGTGCTTTCAAATGATTAATAGCTTTTTCCTTCATTTCTTCGAATGCAGACGAAAACAATGCACATAATTTGGCTGCGCTTACAATTATCGTTGAACTATGATTCTTATTGCAAATCCATATGAGCAACTGGTCCGATTCAACGTACTTCTATTCAGAAACTATTTGTGTTTACACGATCTTGCTTGAGTGGTCTGATAACAATTGAATCTTTCATTTTTAGAATGATGCAGTTTGGCCCAAAATTCGCAAATTAACGCCATCAGACGGCTAACTACTGTGTTAAGTAGCCTAAGTTACCCGCCGGCGTCTAAAGTATGTGTGCACTAATTGGGCCTTATCGGTTCAGAAACAAAAATTTGTATATACATACACACTTACATACATACATACATTCATACAGGCTTTTTGCTTTATATTTAGGAGATTGCTCAATTTCTTTTTTGCAGTGATCGAAAGAGTAGGCGCTCTCGCTCTCGCGAAAAGAAGCGTGAGCGTTCTCGATCGCGTGATAGGAAGAAGGAAAAGGAGAAGAAAGAGAAAAAACGAAGCAGAAGTCGTGATAGGAAAAAGGACAAGGTACGAACTTCGTTTTATCATTATGTATTACACTCAATTATTTCAAAACCAAATAGTATGGTTTCTTTTTAGAGGGAATTTTGAGTTTCAATCTTCTATGAACGTGTATTTTCTTTCTTTTTTTGTGCTAACTATTGTTTGAGCGTTTACAGGAAGGTAAGAGCGAACGTAGTTCAGATCGAAGGAAGGAGAAAGAGAAAGACAAGAAGGAAAAAGAGAAACTCAAGGTAACTGACGGACATTTTTATTATATTGTTTTCATTTCTCACAATTTAGGAGACGAAAGTCGAGGATCTTGACGAAGAAGCATTAAGAGAGCGTCTGCTTGAAAAAGCTGCCGTTCGGAGTGGAAAGGAAGGGTACGATCTGTTGAATCTTCGTACTCGCATCAGTCTTGGCAATGGTTTATTAAAAGAACTCTTTTTTTAGTTCTGAAAGCGATCGAGACAGCGAAGTCGATAAAGCCGGTGACAAGACGCCCAGTAAAATAAAAAATGAACGAAAGAGGCGACGCAGCGACAGTGATTGAAGTATTTCAGTTTCTCTTCTAATGTAATGTGCTTGAAGGGATAATCTTCTTTTATCTGTCTTCAAGATGGGGATCTCTTTTTGGAATTTCTTTGTTGTGGTTCTGAGTAATGTTTATGACTTCTGTACAGTCTTGTCAAAGATTTGTTCATTTGATCTGGGTCAAATTTCATTTGTTTTCCGAGAGCTGTTAGATCATGTATTCAGACTGCTCTGTTACGTGTTTATATTGTGAACGATGAACAAGATGTCAATGAATGTTTCTCTACGTAGTCATTTACATCACTAGACATGAGTGTTCATCTCAAGATGTTTACAATTTGTTACCGTGTAATTCCTAAAATTCTAGTAATGTTCAGGAAGCTGAATGTTATCACGGCGTCTTAGTGCGTTATCCATTCGTAAAATATGCGGCAAGCAACTAGTTTATGCGGAATACGGAGATCCAGTTAAGGTAGTCTTCTTTGTCTAACTCAACTAGACCGCATTTAAGCGCTTTCAGGTGCTCAAGCTTCAAACAATTGATTTGCCTGACACTCCGCCAAGTGGACATGTACACGTGAAATGGATTGCATCTCCTATCAATCCTGCAGACTTAAACACACTTCAAGGAGTGTATCCCATAAAACCACCGCTTCCTGCTGTCGGTGGCAGTGAGGGTTTTGGACGAGTGGAGAAGGTGTGTTTCTCTGGGGAAGTTCCTTTTTCTTATCTCAGGATCATTTGTAAAAGTAAAAAAATGCATTTTACAACTGCGGGTTGTGGTTTAAAACTCGGATGTGATTATAAGGGTGATAGCATCAGTTCTTGAATTTAGTGCAGTAGAGCAGACCCTGGTGCGTGATCTATGTGCACGCCACACTAAACATAGCATATGTTTGGTTTTTGCGATCAGGTCCAGTTGGCTGGGTCTGTGCACAAAGATGTTACTATCTTAAAAGACAGTTGATCTGGGGGGTCTCCATCTTTTTATGTAAAGCACCATGTCTGTGTGTGTATGTATATGTGCATGTGTATGTGTGTGTATGCGTGTGTAAGTGTTGTGTGTATGTATGTGTATGTGTCCATATGTACGTGTGTGTATGTGTATGGTGTGTGTGTTATGTGTGTGTATTTGTATGTGTATGTATGTATGCATATGTGTATAAAGTGCGCGGCAGCTAGGATATAGCCAAATTACGGAATTGCTATTCCACTGGCTCAACCGGGCTGCATCCTCGATCAGCCGATACTTATAAAGCTTGGAGAGAGCTATCCATAGATCGGCCGACTGGAGTTGCGGCGAGGTGAAACCTGAAGATCATTTGAAGAGAAATCAAGCTTACTTTCAGAGAATTGGAATGACGAGAATTTGAGATAAACTCCAGTCGAATTGGTCTTTGTTTGCAGCGCGACAACGCAGCCGCTCCTACTCGTTGCAGACTGGGAGTGCATTGTGACCCAGTTCTTCCAGTCATTAGAGTAGAAGCGTTGTTCGAGAACTCAAAGTATGGAAGCAAAAAACTAGAAAATAAACAGCTAGTGATCTTACAACACGGGCGCGCCCCATCTTCACTTGGCGGTTGGGCCGGTCTTGAACCTCAAGAGCAGTGTGAAATACGCACTCTCAAG